TCGGACTGCGAACTGCAAGGTCAGCAGTTCGAGATTACCAGCTGTTCCGCGGGAGAAAGATGAGGCTTTCTGCTCCCGTAAAGATTTACAGCCTTGGAAACCCTGTACAGGGTCACTATGGGTCGGAACCTACTCCATTGTACATAACAACAAATACAATATATCATTTATTTGTCTAAAAACTTGTAACTCCCAGTGGCAGAGAATATTGAGGTTTCTATTACTTGGCATTAGGGGCCCTTTACAAAAGGGCCCCAACTTATCATTTCAACCTCATATTCACTGCCCCTTACCCTCCCTCTACACTTAGTGTGTCCAACCCCATTACTTTGTGTGCATGTGATTTTCATGCCTTTTCTCAGAGTGTGTCCTTCACCTACATTAGCATCTTTCTCTTTCTTCCTTCTCTGTCTTTATAGCCCATTGCCATACATTGAAACCTTTGCAGTTTTCTTCCCATAAAGCTTTCATAGCTGGAGTATTCCCAGCTAAGGTTATTTCTTCCTCTGTGGCACTTCTCTTGATATTTTATTTAACCTTCAATTATAGTACTTTTTGGGAGCATGGTGGCTTTGTAGGATAAATACTGGACTGCAAACTACAATGTCAGTGGTTTGAGCCCACCAGCTGCTTTTCGAAAGAAAGATGAGGCTTTCTGTTCCTGCAAAGATACAGCCTCAGAAACCCTATACAAGGTCGCTCTGAGTTGGAACTGACTTGGTAGCACTTAACAACAATAGCAACATTATACTTTTTAGCATGCACTGGTGGTGCCATGATTAAAACATTCAGCTGTTAACTAAAAGGTCAGCGGTTCTAACCCACCAGCTACTCCAAGAGAGAAGGCTGTGGTGGTCTGCTTCCATAATGATTTACAGCTGTAGAAACCACTTAGATGTCTATATCACACTAGTAGATGGTGGTGGTGGTTATGTGCCATGGAGTCGATTCTGACCCATAGCGACCCTGTATAGGGTTTTCAAGGCTGTAAATCTTTACGGGAGCAGAAAGCCTCATCTTTCTCCCATGGAACTGCTGGTAGTTTCGAAATTATGACCTTGAAGTTCGCAGCCCAATTCGTAACCACTACGCTACCAGAGCTCCTTGTAAAAACCCTATAGGGCAATTCTAATCTCTCTTGTAGGAGCCACTGTGGGTCAGCATTGACACAAAGACAGTGAGTTTGATTGTGGTTTATTGGTTTTCATTTATTAGGTTTTTTATTTTCTATCTTATATTTTAGTTCTTAATCATTTTTGGGTCTCTGAACCCTTTCAAAATCTGATGAAAGATGGAATCTCACCAATTAAAAATAGATATACAAAAAGTTTGTGAACAATGTCATCTTGATCCCATATTGTATAAGGCCTCCCCCATGGAACCCAGGTTAAAATCTGCTGTTAAAGAAATCAGTGTACTATTATTGTTGCTGTTGTTGTTAGCCAGTTCCAACCCATAGTGACCCTGTATAGGGTTTCCAAGGGGCAGCTGGTGAGCTTAAACTGCCAACCTTGCAATTCAGATGGACTTTGCAGTACTGCTATAACTCCTTGATCTCTAGAACTGTGTTTAATTGATTATGTTAATTTTCTCAGCACCTTGGATACTGGTTTATGCTTCAAAGATGCTTCGTAAATGTTGACTTAATGTTGTTGTCAGATGTTGCAAGTTGGTTCTGACCTGTAGTGACCCTATGTACAACAGAACTAAACGCCACCCAGTTCTGTGCCATTCTCACAATTGCTGCTACGCATGAGCCCATTGTTGCTGCCACTGTCTCTGGCCATCTCATTGGGGGTCTCCCTCTCTTTCACTGTCCCTCCACTTTACCAAGCATGATATCCTTCTCCAGAAACTGGAAGTCTGGCCATCTTGACTTCTAAGGAGCATTCTGGTTATACATCATCCAACATAGATTTGTTTGTTCTTCTGGCAGTCCTTGGTATCTTTAATAATTCTTCTCTATCATCATAACTCAAGTGCTCCAATTCTTCTTGGTCTTCCTTACTAATTGTCCAACTTTCACATGCATATGAAGATAACATGGCTTGGGTCAGTGCACTTTAGTCCTCAAACTGACATCTTTGTTCTTGAACATTAAAAGAGATCTTGTGCAGCAAATTTGCCTAAGGCAGTATGTTGTTAGATTTCTTGACTTCTGATTCTATGAGTGTTAATGATGGATCCACGCAAAATGAAATATTTTACACCTTCAATCTTTTCTCCACTTATCATGATGTTATGTGTTAGTCCAGTAGTGAGGCTTTTTGTTTTCTTTACATTGAGGTGCAACCCATACTGAAGGCTGTGATCTTTGATCTTCATCAGTAAGTAGTTTAGGTCCTTTTTGCTTTCATCAAACAAGGCTACATCATCTGCATATCACATGCTGTTAATGAGTCTTCCTCCAATCCTGATACCACATTCTTCTTCATATACTCTAGCATCTTGAATTATTTGCTCAGCATACAAATTGAATAAGTATGGTGAAAGAATACAACCCAGACACACACCTTTCCTGATAGAAAATGTTTCAGTACCTCTTTGTTCTATTTGAATGACTGCCTCTTGTTCTATGTACAGATTCCTCATAAGCACAAATGTTCCCTAATACTCATTCTCTGCAGTGTTGTTTATAGCTTGTAATGATCCACAGTCTAAAGCCTTTGCATAGTCAGTAGAGTACAAGTAAACATCTTTCTGATATTCTTTGCTTTCAGCCAAGATCCATCTGACACAAGCAATGATATCCATTGTTCCACGTCCTTGTCTGAATCTGGCTTGACCTTTGGCAATTCTCTGTCAATGTACTGTTGCAGCCGTTTTTTAATTACCTTTAGCAATATTTTACTTGCATGTGATATTAATGATACTGCTCGATAATTTGCACATTCCGTTAGGTTACCTCTCTTTGGAACTGACACAAATATGGCTCTTTTCCAATCCGTTGGGCAGGTACCTGTCTTTCAAATGACTTGCTGAAAGATTTCAGTTTGTATTCTATCAGTTCCTGGAGCCTTGTTCTTTAACAGTGCCTTCAGAAGTGCACAGTGGATTTCTTCCTTCGGTACCATTGGCTCTTGATCATAGGATACCTCTTGAAATGGTTAAACATCTACCATTTCTTTTTGTTACAGTGACTCTATGCATACCTTCATTTGATTCTTTCTGCATCTTTCAATATCTCACCTGAAGAATCCTTCCATATCACAAGTTGAGGTTGATATTTTTATTCAGTTCTTTCAGCTTGAGAAATGCTGAGCTTTTTGGGGAGGCACATTTCGTTATAATATTTAACTTTGTCTTCATGCTCTGCCCTTTGAAAATTTCTGTTTAGCTCTTTTTACCTTCTCATTTCTTCCATTTGCTTTAGTACCTCTGCACTGGAGAACAAATTCAGAGTCTCTCTGACGTTCATTTTGGTCTTTTCTTTCTTCTCTGTCTTCTTAATTACCTTTGCTTTCTTTCTGTATGATGTTCTTGATGTCCTCCCACAACTTTTCTTATCTTCGGTTATTAGTGTCTAATGCATCAAATCTGTTCTTCACATCTCTAAATTCAGGTGAGATTACATTCAAGGTCATATTTTGGCTCTCATGGACTTGGTTTAATTTTTCTCAGCTTCAGCCTGAACTTGCATGTGAACAGTTGATGGTCTGTTTCACATTCTGCCTCTGGCCTTTTTTGGCTGATGATATGGAACTTTTCTATTGTCTCTTTCCACAGATGTAGTCAGTTTGATTTCTGTGTATTCCATGTGTATAATCATCTTTTATGTTGTTTAAAAAAGGTATTTGCAATGAAGTCATTGGTCATGTGATCTCCAGTTTCATTTCTACCACCAAATCCATATTTTCTAATGACTGATTCTTCCTCTTTGTTCTAGCCTTTGCATTCCAATCACCAATAATCATCAATACATCTTGATTGTATGCTTGGTCAAGTTCAGATTGAAGAAGTTGGTAGAATTCTTCAATTTCATCATCACTGGCTTTAGTGGTTGATGCATAAATTTGAATTGTAGTGACATTAACTGATCTGCCTTGTAGACATATCGATGTTATCCTATCACAGACAACATGCTTCAAGATCTTGTAATGTTCTTTTTGGCGATGAATGCAATGCCATTTCTCTTCAATTTATCATTCCAAGCATAGTAAACCATGTGATTGTCAGAGTCCAAATGGCCAATACCAGTTCATTTCAGCCTAGGCTATTGATACATATGTGTTCCATTTCGTTTTTGACAACTTCCATTTTTCCTAGATTCATACTTCATACATTCCATATTCCAATTATTAATAGATGTTTACTGCTGTTTCTCCTCATTTTGAGTTGAACCTCATCAGCAAATGAAAGTTCAGAAAACTTGACTCAGTTCACGTGATCACAGTCAGTTCTGCTTTTTTAGGAGGCGGCTCTTGCCCAGTCATATTTTGAGTGCCTTCCAACATGAGAGGCTTATCATCCGGCACTATATCTGACAATATTCTGATGGCATTCACCATGTTACAATATTCAATATTCTGGTGCTATCTGACAGTGTTTCACTGCTATTTATAAGGCTTTCAGTGGCTCTACATTCAGAAATAGTCCGTCTTGCCCTCTGAGTCTGTCTCTGTCTGGTAGGTAGCTCAACTGAAAACCTTTCCACCATGGGTGACCCTGCCGGCATTCAAAATATAGGTGGCATAACTGTCAGCATCACAGCAACACACAAGCCACCACAGTGCCACAGACTGACAGATGAGTGGTGGGTTGAATGAATAGTTTGTAGCATTTACTTCAAGTGTACCTGTACAGTGAAAGCATATTTTTGATAATAGTCTCATCACACAAATTTTAGTGAGGGGTCTCTTATTTGTTGCCCACAGTTAACATCTTGAGTTTCAGACGGAGCCCTACTGTAATAGGACTGTTGACACCATGAGCTCCTGACAATGTAGCATATTTATTACATAGTAAATTCTAATCTGACCTTTCCTATCCTGTTGTAACAGGTGAAAAGAAACTTGGTACTGTTATCACTCCAGATACATGGAAAGATGGTGCAAGGAATACCACAGGTATTTTTCTCTTAGAAAATAGAGATGAAATTAGATACTTTATGTCAGTGTTTTAGGGTTTACATTATTTGTAAAATGAGATATTATATATGTATAAACTTCCCTCTAAGAAACATTAAAGAATTCTGTGCCCCCAATAGTTTTACTATCTTCTGTATAACAGTTCTCTGAGGTACATGGTTGGGGTTCCTAATTTGGTAGGCAGGAGATAGCAAAAATCAGAGTCTGCATTTAATTCCCTCAGACCTCAGCTGATTTTTATATTCTTGAAAAAAATATCATTTAAATTGTTTTTACCTTCATAATCATTCAAGATTTACAGTGAGGCTGTTTTCAAAGGGAAGGATAAAACAAATGAACAAATAAAATCCTTTTCACTGCATTTAAAGTCTATGAAACCAAAGTAGTTTCTGGATTTTACAGTAGTTAGACAAATGCAATCCCATTCCTAAATAATTATTCTGAATACAGAGAAATGAAATAATTGTGTTTTACACAAATGTTTATTGTTACTTTAATAAGTCATTTTGTTCTTTTAATGCAGCATCTCAGTGTTGTTAAGTGCCATTAAGGAAGATTTACCGTTTCTTTGATATAGGCGTTTTAATTAGTAAGAGGCCAAAGAACCAACTAACCCACTAAAATGTATGTGTATTTTGATACAGAAAGTGGCGGAAGAAAGTTGAATGAAAATAAAGCTTTGACTTCAAAAAAAGCAAGGTAAGTCTAGAGCAGAGCAATCAAAGATATTTCTGCTCTTTTTTAATATTAAAGTTACTAGAGTAAATTTAGTATATATCATTATAATGATGAGTTAGATAGGCCCTCACACAAACAGCCAAGCTGTCTGTTATAATTTACTGGTTTCACCCTGTATTTCCTCATTGTCCCAAAGTATGAAGAGATTATTCTTAGTCTCTCTATAAATTTCACAGATTTTATTTTTCAGGATCCTTCGAAGCAGAGGCAATAGGGAAACATGGAATGATCATAAGCTTTGGAGTTATGCTAAATTTGAACCTCACATTCTGCCTCTGTTGAGCTCTGTAACCTTAAGCAAGTTAGGTCAGTTTCCTAATGTTTCTGAACTTCAATTACTCCGAGAATGGAGATAAAAATGTCTCCCATCTTAAAAAGCAAATTTTTTTGACACGATACTTTATTCTCTCCGGTCTTACAGATTCCAGAAGTCCAACTGCTCCCTCATTTCCTTGCTTTTCTTTACCACAAAGGTTCTCAAAGACTTATCAAGACACTTTCTTAAAGCCCTTCAGTTTCCTTCTCTCCTTTAGCCTCTTTAATCAGCTTTCATCCCCACCACATCCCTGAAACTGCTCTTCTCAGGATCACAAGTGACAAGCGAAACTGATGGCCATGTCTCCACTCTTATCTTACTTAGTCTCTTAGCCACTCTTCCTTTCCTGAAGCCCTTTGTTCTCTGGCTTCTGGGACACCACACTTGCTTGGTTTTCCTCCACAACTCACTGACTGCTCTTTTCTTTTTCTTAACTGAGTGCCTCAGGATTCAACCATAGACTTTTTTTCTATTTCTAATGTCTCCTAAAGTGACTTTCTAGAGGCTGGTGGCTTTAATGTCTGACTCTCTGTTAAGTATCGGACTGCTAACTGCAAGATTGGTGGTTTGCACCTACCAGCCATTCCATGGGAAAAGGATGAGGCTGTCTGCTCCCATAAAGTGTTATTGTCTCAGAACCCCTATACAGGGTCACTGAGTTGGAATTGACTCGAAGACAGTGGGTTTGGGATTTTGGTTATTTCTTTTGGAAATGCTAAATAGCTTATTTGGGAAAGTATCTACTGTCTTATATTAAATCTAAAGTACTATCATTTATAAGTTGCATCATTTGTTCCCTTTAAGAAGGAGTTGTTGCTGTTGTTAAGTGCCATTGAGTTGTAACTCTGTATAGGGTTTCCAAAGAGCAGCTTGTGATCTTGAACCACCAACCTTGTAGTTCAAATCAGATTTGCAGTCCAGCACTTTAACCCATAACACCACACCAGAACTCTTAGATAGAGTAAACACTGCCAATTAATTGTAGGAAGTCAGTGATATTAAAATATGCATCTTAAAATAATGAAATTCAGTTTTAAGAAAGTGTCATCTTCAAATACAGGTACCAAAAAAAAGTGACCTTAATGAAAGGAAGAACAGTGTTCATTTTGTCTTCTGTTGTAGGGAGTAAAGCCACATTCTTTTGGGTTTGGAAAAATTAACCTTTAAAAATGGGCTGCTGGGGTATACCCTTTGATTGGTTGATGATGCATGGAGGGGATTGTAACCATGGCAATGAAACGATATATGATAGGATGATTATAAAGCTAATGTTCTCCCATGTAAATTATCACATAATTCACAATAAAACATTAAAAAAAAAAAAATGGCTGCTGTACTATGCCCCAAGACTTCTAATTGTTGGTGTCTAATATATGGGTATCATTACAACAGCTCATTTTGTAGTTACAGAAACAATTTCCCATCAGAGTTAAGGTCAGTTTAGTGGGAAACATTTCCTCTAAAGTTATTTTGCACTGTCATCACTTCAAGATGTACTACTTTTATATAGTTGATATTAAAGTGCCGTCAAGTAGGGTCCAACTCATAATGGCTTTGTACAGGGTTTTCGAGGAGCAACTGGTAGGTTTGAACTGTCAACCCTGTGGTTCACAGTCCAGTGCTAACCCTATAGCGCCATACCCAGAGTCTGTTTCACATAATTGTTGTTGTTAAGTGTCGTTGAGTCGGTTCCGACCCACAGTGGTCCTTTATAGATTTTCTGAGGAGCAGTGGTGAACTTGAACCACTGATCTTGCATTTCAAACTGACTTTGCAGTTCAGCACATTAACCCACAATGCCACACCAAGACTCCTTTTATATAGTTGTTGTTGTTAAGTATCGCCAAGTCGGTTCCTACCCATTGCAACAGTGTACAGGGTTTCTAAGAAGCAGCTGTTGAGCATGAACTGCCGACCTTACAGTTCAAACCGCTTTGCAGTCTGGCACATTAACCCACAGTGCCAAACATATAGTTGTTGTTGTTGTTGTTAAGTGCTGTCAAGTCGATTCCAACCCATAGCGACCCGTTATAGGGTTTCAAGAAGCAGCTGGTGAGCTTGAGCCTCCAACCTTGCAGTTCAAATGGCTTTGCAGTCTGGTACATTACCCCACAGCGCCACACCAGGACTCCTCTTTTATCCATAGTAATTGGGTCAGTTAATTGAAAATGTCGGTTGATATAGGAACTCACTAAAAGATACACATACCTTATTGTAAATTAAAGCACATAACTGTCCATGCATTCACCAGTCTTTTAGTAATGAGACAAGTCCTTTTAAATATGTTCATATATCGTAACCAGAACATATATTTCCAGTATCTTTATTTTAAAGTAGAATGAGAACTGACACTTGCAATGTGCAAACTCCTTCTACTTAGAATTTTTCCTCCAATATTTGACAGTTGTTTTACCCATACCTCACTCAACAGCATTTTTTAATGACTCATATTTATCTGGTTATCCCAAAGCATTAGACTAATTTTTGTAGAAACAATTACACTCATCATGTTCTGTCAGTTTCTGTACTATTACATGATCCAAATAGAATGACATAAGTATTATTGTTGTTGTTGTTAAGTGACATCAAGTCGGTTCCGACCCATAGTGACCCTGTCTGTATAGGGTTTCTGAGGAGCAGCTGGTGAGCTTGAACTGCCGACCTTGCAGTTCAGATGGTTTTGCAGTCTGGCACATTAACCCACAGCACCACACCAGGACTCCTGACATAAATAGCTGTAAGAAAAAGTACAGCTGATTCTCTGTAAGCATACAGCTTAGACATAAGGAGCAGAGGCTGCAGGCATACGTGAGGGGCCCTGCCAGGTGGAGCTGAGAGAAGGCCTGGAGAACATCAATTCATCCCATGCATTAGGTGAGTGGGGCTGGTAAAGAGAACTTACACATTTTCCTTTATCTTTTCCAAAATCTTTAGATTTGACCCATATGGAAAGAATAAATTCTCCACTTGCAGAATTTGTAAGAGTTCTGTGCACCAACCCGGTTCTCATTACTGTCAGGGCTGTGCCTACAAAAAAGGTACGTTTCTCTAATACTATTTTTCTATTCTTATCAAACTTGCTTCATTTGATGCTGATTTGGATAACAGAAAAAGTAGCTTTTCATAGAACCTATTAATCAGCTACTCTATTAAGGCAAAGTAAAACTTAGAACATGTTCATAGTTAAAACAATATATTTTCTTCTTTTTACTGAATAATGTTTTGAACTACACAATTTAGTTAAGTAAGTAAGGCAGACTGTCAGTATTATGAATTGATTGTGCACATGTTTTCTTTTGTTTTAGGCATCTGTGCAATGTGTGGAAAAAAGGTTTTGGATACCAAAAACTACAAGCAAACGTCTGTCTAGATGTATTGATGAAGTTCCTGGCTCTCTGTATGGTTTTACTTTCTACTTTGAACTTTTCAAAGTAACATAGATGTTCAAGTTACAGAATCGTATGTCTTAAAACAAGTACCTGTAAGCCAGGGAAATTGATTGGCATTCATTCTTTTGCTACCAAGAACATACAGCAAAAATGTAACTAGTCTTCTGTTGTTATTTTTCTTTCAAGCAATTTTTTGAACTGGAATTAGTAGCAACTTTAATGAAAAAATATTCCCAGTTCTTTATGCACGTTTGCATCTCTTATAGTACCTGTTATTTCTTCTTCCTTTGTTTACAGGTTTTGCAAGAGTAAGTAGGAAATGATTAGTACTGTGCTTGGAACCTGGCATCAAAGCTTCTGATTCTTTTCCTTAGTTTTCATTGCACAGCTTACTGCTCGTATAGTTCCTTAGAATCAGCATTCCCTTGACTACAGTTTCACAGGGAATTTAAATATCCAAAAATATTTTTGCTGAATGTTCCTTTTGTAATTAGTCCAGGCATTAGTTTTGAGACTTTTTTTTTTTCAACTTCTTGATGTTAGAATGCCAATTCCTTTCATACAAGAACAAGGAACACCCAGTATGTCCAAGTTCATACAATGAACTTCAGAAAAATACAAACACATGCATTGCCTTGAATTCAGCTGTCAAAACCAGAAGAGCAGACAGTGCTTGTTTGTCCATGATGACCTGTGATAAAAATGGGGACACTCTTTGAAGCAGAAATTTCAATCTTCCCTTGTCCCATGCATGCGCAAAAAGAAAGAAAACAGCCAACATCTTGACTCTGTATAACATTGACTGCTAAAAACCTATCTTGAGGTTTCAAAGAAGGATTCTACTTACGCTGCTTTCAGAGATTCAAGACTCCTGCTTTTGCTTTCTGCAGAGCTATGGGAGCTCTGTGCTATGGGAGGGCAAAAAAAAAAAATTAAAAAAAAATTCATTCTTACCACCAACTACGGAGTTTTATCAGTAGATGTCACTGTAAAATGCATAGAGTAGCTAATGTGAAAATATACATGGCATATGTTGCATTTTTATTTGTTGAAAATGATTATGAAGAGTAACGTTTTATCTGTTTAATTTATATGCAAGGTATTTTAATAGTTCCTTTTCTCCCTCAGTCACACTGGCATTGATTCGTATCCACAAAGATTACAAGGAAAATGCAGAAATACAATAACAGTAGTGCTATGGGCAGGAAGTATCCTGTCATGCCAGATTGGATTTCCATTTAAAAGCATAACACAAGGAGCCTATATCAGGACCCAGTCAAGAAATATCCCAGATCCATAAAAAATTAAGTCCATCGATATGGGGAAAATAGGTTTTTTAGGAATCAGTGGAGATCTAGGCTTTCACAAGTGACATTTCATATTCCTACCTTGAGTAACCTGCTTCCACAAATGGATCCAGTGGCCAGACTCATGCTGTACTACAAGGATTGGTTTTAGGGTTGTACCTTAGAACAGAACTTCATTGTCAAATAATTCAATACAATCATTGTTGTTTAGTGCTCTTACTCACAAGGATTCTGGTTTCTGAGAAGCGATGGTGGGTTTGAACTGCTGACCTTGCAGCACAAACTGACCCTGAATAGAAGTAGTAGTAATTAGATGAGGAGGGAAATCCCCAAAGAAAACGTGAACATAAATAATTTTGTAAGAGGAAGACATAAAAATGAATTAGAATAAAATAATAGAATTTAAGCCAAGCATAGTGTTATCAAAGTAAAATCAATGTCAATATAAAAGTGATTAACCTGTTAAAAGGAATCTCAGATTTATTTTAAATAAATAAAACCTGAAACAAATGCTAATTTTGTGTATTCATTTGTTGGAATATGCAGCCATCAAAATGATATGAAAATACATGTATGGGCAGAAGTACACATAGTGTGTATCTGTAGAGTACGGCTGGGGGTTGAGAAGAGAAAGACTATGTATGTATGTTATCCGCCTTTTAATTCCTGATTTCCTTAAAATGGGGTAGGCGTAGGAGGGAGAGAGGACTTGCAGTATGTTGTTTGGTAAGTGTCATTGAGTCAGCTGATGGGTTTGAACCACCAACCTTACGGTTAGCAGTCCAGTGCTTATCCTACAGAACTACACCAGGACTCCATCATTTCTCTATATTCATTAGTTGCAATTCTACTGTAATGAAGAAGTTTCCTCTTATCAGTCTAAGTTCATACACTGGACTTCAGAAAAACACATACACATGCATTGCTTTGAATTCAGCTGTCATGAAAACCAGAAGAACAGAAGTGTTTGTCCATGATGACCTGTGATAAAAATGGATTTTCATTGATTTCTGCACTTTGTGAATTCTCTTTGAAGCAGAAACTCAGTGTTTTTAATCCTCCCTCATCCCATTTTAGAGTTACAGAAATGGTGCCTCATTACCCTAAGTATTTAAATGTATATATATGTCTTTAAGAACAAGGACATTTTCTTATATAACCACAGCACATTATCAAAGTCAAGAAATTAGTGTTAGAGCAATCCTGGCATCTAATGTCTTCCAGATTTCACTATTTGTTTCAGTAATTTGTTTTGGTGGTGGTGGTGAATGCAGTTGAGTCAGGTCCAACTCATAGCTACAGTGTATAGTGTTCCCAAGGAGCAACTGATGTTTTAGGGGCTGAAAAAAAAAATCTAGTCTAGGATCCAATTTAGGGTCACACAGTACATTTAACTATCATGTCTCTTCAGTCTCCTATAATCTCGAGTAAGGAGCCCTGGGGTGCAATATTTAAGTGACTGCGAACTGAACCCACCAACCACTCTGTGGGAGAAAGATGGCAGACAGTCTGCTTCCATAAACATTTGTATCCTTAGGGCATTTCTCCTCTGTGCTGTGAGTCAGAATGGACTCCAACTGTAATTGGTCTGGGTTTTTATTGTTTGATAGTTTAATCTGGCACAACCCTTCAATCTGTCCTTAATCTTCAAAAATGTCGAGGTCATGAAAGGCCAGCTATTTTATAGATTATCTCTTAATTAGGGTTTTCCTAATATTTCTTACATTGAATTTTTATACTTTTGGCAGGAATATTACAGAAGTGGCATTGTGTCCTTTTTAGTGCATTGTACTGCTTGTCCTATTACCAGGATGTTAATTCTGATCACTTGTTTTAAGTGATACCTGCTAGACCTCTCTACTGCAGTTTCTTTTTTTTTAAAATAAATTTTTTGGGAAAATACTTTGAAGCTGTAAATGTTGTTTCTAAGCAAACTTTCACACTAATTTTAGCATTAGCATCCAATGATGTTTCTTGGCTGAATTAATTGTTACTCTGATGCTTGCCAAATGGTGATTTTCCAATTTGATCACTCCTACATTTATTAGG